CAACAGGAAAAATGTGGTCAATGTCCCTGAGCTGTAAATGAGATTTATTATGTTGGTAAATGTCTTGTCATGTACGTTTTCACCATAGTAAGAGTAAAAAAAAAAAAAAAAATAAGGAACGCTGGTGGCATAGTACTTGAATGCTCAGCTTCTAACTGAAAGGCCTGTGGTTAGAACCTACCAGCAACTCCACAGGAGAAAGGAGGAAGTCTATTTTTGTAAAGATTTGCAGCCTGGGAAACCCTATGGGGCAATTCTACTATATCCTTCAGGGTTACTATGATTCAGAATCAATTCATCATCAGTGGGTTTGGGGTTTGGATAAAGACTTAGTACAGTAGTATTGTACTGAACAAGGAAAGATTCAAGATAAAATCCTATATACATGTGAGAAATACCTATTAGTGAAAAGGGGCTGGGAGGAGAAACTGAAGGGATAGGAGCATAAATGTTATATTTCATCAGAAATGGTGCTAAATGCCAGGACAGTTACTGCTAGGGGCTGAATTATATTTCACCAAAATATGTGTTAGAATCCTAACCCCTCTACTTCTTGATGTAATCTGCTTGGAAATAGGGTTTTCTTTGTTATGTTAATGAGGCCATATCAGTGTAGGGTGTGCCCTAACACTAATCACTTCTGAGTTATAAAAAGAGTAGATTAGACACAAGGAGAAGTACAAAGGGGGAAAGACAGAGCCATGGAGGAATAACCGAGCTACAGAAGCTGAGACAAAGATCTTCCCCCAGACCCAGCAGAGTTTCGACCCCTATATCAGGTGCCCTGAATTCTGGCTTCTAGTCTCTGAATTGTGAGAAAATAAATCTGTTCTTTAAAGCCACCTACTTAATGCTATTTCTGCTAAACAGCACTAGATCACCATGACAGATAGGAAACAAGTTTGAAAGGAATACTAAAAGTATGTGAATAGTCTATCTAGAGTACATCTATGCTTCCTACATTCCAAAACAATGAGGATTTCAGTTAGCTTGATGGCCCAGAAAAGTAATCTTTGGTCAATTTAAGAACATAAGATGATCCAGAGACAATAACAGACAAATAAATAAGAATCATTTATTCATACAACCAATATTTATTAAGGACCTACTCTAGACACTAAAGAGGTCTAAACTAAAGTGACAAAGTCCCTGCTGTCATGGAATTTACATCTAGTGGTGAAGTAAAAACCAAACCCACTGCCATCAAGTTGATTCCAATTCATAGAGACCCTGTAAGACGGAGTAGAACTGCCCCATAGGGTTTCCAAGGCTGTAAATCTTTATGGAAGAAGACTGCCTCATCTTTCTTCCACAGAACAGCTGGTGGGTTCAAATTGACAACTTTTTGGTTAGCAACCCAATGCATTAACAACTGACCCACACAGACAATAAACAAGTATATAATCATATTTATGTCAGGGGTTGATGAGTACTATGAACTTTAAAAAGCACAGCAAGTAGGCTACACAGTGCTGAGAGGTGGTGGGGTCATTCGGGTTGGGCTCCCTTATAAGGCGACATTGTAAAGACCCAAAGGAATTAAGAGCCTATGCCTTAAGTATATCTGAGGGACAAGTGTTCCAGGAAGAGGGAACAGCGAGGGCAAAGGTCAGAGGGACGGTATATGCCAGGAGTAGCAAGAAGCTCCATGTGGCTGGAGCTCAGGAAGAAGGAAGGGAAGTGGGAGTGTGTAGGGTTAACAGGTCAGTAGGGACAAGTCCTGGGGTCCTGTGAGGAACTGCGCAAAGTGTTGGAACTTCACTGGAATAACAACTTTCATTAAACTCCTAGTATATTGATAACTGGAGCATTTCTTCCTACTGCTCCTTGAAAAACTATGATAAAACACAACATTACCAATTTAAAAATAGAAATGAAAAACTGCTGGAAATTTTATCATTTAGTATGTGTTAGCTTTTTACAGTTTCTTGTGTTCTTGTCCAGCCTTTTCCCATATTCATGTGTATTTTTAAGGTTGCAGTTATAGTAACAAATAGCTTTATATCCTGCTTGTTTTACATACCTTTATACACTATGCATGTTTTGGGCTGCTCCAAAGTCTTCCAAATAATGACTTAAAACAAACAAACAAACAAAACAAAAAACTCAGTGCCAATGAGTCGATTGCAATTCATGGCAACCCCTGCTGGGTTTCGAAGGCTATAAATCTTAACGGAAGCAGATTTTCTTATCTTTCTTCCACAGAGCAGCTGGTGGGTTTGAAACATCAACCTTTTGGTTAGCAACCAAATGCCTTAACCACTATACCACTAAAGTTCCTTAAAATCATGATTTTAGTGGTTGCATAATATTTTAAGTGAATGTACTGTTTCTGAGTTCTTTTGGACACTGCAGTTGCTTCCAAATTGTCACGATTACCAATGATGTGCAAACATTTTCAAGATTTGGATTATTTTGGGAACCCTTCTACATGCATTTTTACCCATAAACAGTCAATTTTTATAGATATGAGGTATTTCTTCAAACCAAAACCAAACTCACTGCCATCAAGTCATATCCAACCCATAGCGAGCCCCTTCGGGCTTCCAAGATTTCTTGGTGGTCTCTTAATAAGCACAGTTGCAAAACTAATTACCTGCTGATGGTATCTGTCACTTTTTCAGAGTAGATGCCTTCTGGCACTGGTTCGTATACTGCCTCCACTATCTGTAAAACAGACAGACTGCAGTGATGGAAGTAAAGGGGTCATTTATATCTGTGCTCAGTCATCCTTATTTGGCCATAATGTGAGACTTATTAATTAAGCAATATAACTTCATCCACAAATTTTATTCTGAAACAAAAACATCCTGACCAAATAAAAAACTAACATCAATTAAACAGTTCTTGAACATGGAAGTGTATTCTCCAAGCTGAGTTAAAGTTAACCTCAGATTCATAATAAATGATACTCTGGATATTATAATATGCAGGATTTTGGGTAACCAAACTGCAGTTAAAAGTAATAGACCAAAAGTTATTTGAGATATGTATTTTTGTACTTTTCTATGATAAATGAAAATATGCTGCAGCACATGATAAATACATTGAATCAGGCACAATGCCTACTTTTAGTTGACATTTTTGTAAAAACGTACTTTAGTAGCCAGGGAGAGCATGTTGGTGCTGTAGAAGGGAGGACTCAGAGTTGCCATCTGATAAAGGATGCAGCCTGCAGCCCAGACATCAGCCTTCTCGCCATACGGCTCACTCTTCAGGACCTCAGGGCTGAAGTAAAATAAGGATGTTAATAAATTCTCAGGAAAGGAGAATAACTTAATACAGAACATATATCCAACCTTCACACTGTAGTTGGATATAGGGAAAAAACATACTTGGAAATTCCTGATCATTCTTCTAGGTAAACACATTAAAAATACCTTTGAAGTCTCCCAACTCCAGACAAACTGAGTAAGTACAGCCAAGCAATTCCAGTTTGTGCCATCAAGTCAATTTTGACTCACAGTGGCTTCATGTGACAGAGTATACTGTCCCATGGGGCTTCTTAGGCTATAATCTTTACAGGAAGGAACTCTGGTGATGTAATTCTTAAAGAATTTGCCTGCTAATCAGAAGGTCCGGAGCTCTGGTAGCATAGTGGCTAAGGCACTTGCCTGCTAACCAGACGGCTGGCGGTTCAAACTCACCAGCCACTCCTCGGAAGGAAGTTTGGGCAATCCTACTTCCGTAGTGATACTGCCTCGGAAACCCAAGGAGGGGTCGCTATGAATCGGGGCCGACTCGACAGCACATAACAACAACAACAACAACAATCAGAAGGTCAGTAGTTCAAACTCACAAGCTGCTATGTGGGAGGAAGACAAGGCAATCTGTTTCCATTAAGATTTACAGCCTTGGAAACCCATTAGGGGTCGCTATGAGTTGGAATTGACTCAATGGCAGTGGGTTTGGTTTTTAATCTTTATGGCAGCAGATCACTAAGTCTTTCTCCCAAGAAGTCGCTGTGTGGGTTCTAACCTTTCAGTTAGCAGCCAAGAGCTTAAATTCCAATTTAAGCGCTTAAATATCAGTGAAATATATAGACATTGCCTAGTATGTGTCTGGAAGTTATTTCTATTTCCAGAAACAACAGCCTCTCTGTAGTGGATAGAATTGTGGGCCCAGTGCTGTACTTACTCTGGAGATTTTGTACATCCCCACACTTGCCGTGGCCTTATGGTGGGCAGTATTCATTCCTAATTCCTGCCTTGGTTTTTACTGTGTTTACTTGCTTTGGCTGAGGGAATAGATCAGAGCCTCAGTGATAAGAGGTACTGAGTGCTTCCATTAGTCCTCTGAAAGCTCTGTCACTACCACAGAAAGAGCATGCCCTCAGGTAGCTGCTGCCCTGACAGCTTGATTTTAAAATAAGACACACAGGGCAGCTATGCCCTAGATAAACTATAGACTGCAGGAAACCAGTCCAACTGAACTACTGACCTGCAAGTGTTAGTATAAATGGTTATTGTTGAATGCCACTGAGGTTTTTGTGGTTATTTGTTATATAGCATTTAGTATGGCCCTAACTGAATGCTATAGCCTCCCCTCTTTACTACTAAACTCTAGCTTATAAATTGGGGAGGAGGTGATTTAAAGATGGTGCAGGAGATGACAACATCTACATGTCCACTTCTTCTGAATTACATTTCCAAACTGGACAAGGGTGCTGTTAGTCTTTAAGTGAAGTTAAGCTGTGAGGGCTTATGGGTCTGTTGTTTTATTTATGTGGAGAAGAGTGTAGTTCCCTTGGATATATTGAACTAATAGATGTTTATCATATTTGCTGAATAGAACTCAGTGAAAATGCTTAAAGCACTCAACAAACACACATACAATACTAACACCCACACCTAATTAAGCAGTTTGATCATTCAGTCCCATACTATATATACTTAGCACTGTGTTCAACCCTCTAAATTAATGGAGTGGGAATTAAGAATTGGATTTGACAGTGGATTAACACATAAAGCAACTGATAAATGAGCAGGGGCAGATATAAATTTGTATTGACTGTTAAAAATAGTCAAGGAGTTATGGTTCTTTTGAGATTACAGAGAAGAATTCCCAATTTAAGATTTATATTATATATTTGCAGAGTAAAGTATGATGTCTATATCTCTCAGGTAAGCATATTCATATTTGGTGAGTGATACTGAGTTTAATAATATGGCAACAGAGGAGTTTGGGGTGAAGTGTCCCAGGCTCTGCTTGCTCTAAGGATACAGAAAGTGTCCCCTGATCAACTGCTAATATTAAAAAAAGAAAGAAAAAAAAAAAGCCTTAACAAGAAATATTGTCTTCTATAGAAAAATTGTCTTTGACTCCCCACAGACAAATTTCTTATGCTTTAATCTACTGAGAACTCAGAAGATTTGCTTCGTATTTCCAAAAGCTCACGCAGTAGACGCAGCCAATGTTCCACCCTATCATGTCAGATGTCTTTTCCATTTTCTATCTGAGGTGCTTTCAGCTCTGGTGGCATAGTACCTAAGGCATTTGACTGCTAACCAGAAGGCCGGTGGTTCAAACCC